TTCCCAACAGCATGTCCAATTATGTCACATTTGTTGTTAGGTTATACTTATAAGACAGATTTATTCCTTCTGGAAGTCCATGGCTTATTTCAAATTCTTCACCAACACCATAATCCAGAGGCATAAATTATTTTCCAGTCTCCCTTACTCATTGTCCAATTTTCACATTCATATGAGGCCCCTGCAAATGCCATCCATGACTTGGGTTCAGTGCACCTTAGTCCCCAAGGTAACATCTTTGCTTCTTAACCCTTTCAGGTGTTCTTTTGTGGCAGGTTTTCTCAATATAATTTATTATTTGGTTTGTGTTAGTCAGGGTGGACTAGAGAAACAAATTCATAGACAAATATGTGTGTAGGAAAGATCTTTATATACAAGATCAATTGAACGTTAAGAAAACATCCCAACCCAGTCCAGATAAAGTCCATAAGCCCAGTATTAGCCCATATGTCTGATTCCAACCTATAAAGTCCTCTTCAGACTCACAAAACACATGTAATGATGCTGAATGCAGGAAGATCACAGGCCAGTGGGTGGAAAGTGGATCCTGTGGTGTTGTAAACATCTCAGCGCTGGCAGCGTTCTCCACGTGGCTTCTACAGCTCCAGGGGTCTAGCTCCATCAGCCTCTCTCCATGTGTCTTCTCCACAGGAATATCTCGCAGGGAGTGAGCAGAGAGAGAGTGTGTGTCTCCCACTTCCAAGGAGGAATACCAGAGTTCCTAGAATCCTCAGGAGAAGGCCATGCCCACAAAGAGGCCTCATTGGGTGTGACCTGATTGACAAGCTAGACTCCACGCCTTCACTCTTAATCCTCTCAAATTGACAAATGATTATATAACCACCACAGGTTTCTCTAATGCTTCCACGATCCAGGTAAAATTAAATCCTTGACAATCTCAATATTTTCTCCATTTATATTGATGATGGTTTTCATTCCGTTTTGAAGTTTGTTTTCTTTATGTGCGTAACCCACATTGAAGGCTTTGATCTTCGTTAGTGTTTCAAGTCGTTTTCGCTTTCAGCAAGCAAGGTGGTAACATATGCACATTGCAACTTTGTAATGGCTCTATCTCCAATTTTGATGCCACATTCTTCTTCATACAGTCCAGCAAACAAACAAAGCCAAGCCCACTGCCATTGAGTCAATTGCAACTTATAGTGACCCTAATAGGGTTTCGAAGGCTGATAATCCTTAGAGGAGCAGATAACCTCATTTTTCTCCCTCAGAGAAGCTGGTGGGTTTGAACTACTAATCTTGTGGTTAGCAGTCCTGCAACACCACTAGCGCTCCTTTCCAGCTTCTCTATTTGCTCAGCATACAGATTGAACAAGCATGGTGAAAGGATACAACCCTGATGGACACCTTCTTGCTTATAAGTCTCACAATATCTCTTTGTTCGAGTCAAAAGTACTGCCTCTGGGCCCTTTGAACGGATTTTTCATGAACACAGTTAAGTATTCTGAAATTTCAATTCTCCCCAATTATATCCGTGATTTGTTACGCTCCACAAAAAACGCAAATGCCTTTGCATTGTAAATAAAGCATCGTCTAATACTCTCTGATTTTAGCCAAGATTCATCTGATATCAACAATGATATCCTCATTCCTCTTTTCTGAGAGCAGATTGAATTTCCGGCAATTCCCTGTTGATGTACCACGGCAACCATTTTTTAATTATGTTTATAATTCAAAATTTTATTTTCATGTGATAGTAATGATATCGTTTGATAATTCTTTCATTTTGTTGGATCACTTTTATTTTTTAAAATCATTTTATGGGGGCTCTTACAGCTCTTATCACAATTCATCCATCCATCCATTGTGGATCACTTTTCTTTGCAATGAACACAAATATGGATCCTCTTCGAGTTGATTGGCCAGAAAGCTGCCTTCCAAATCTCTTGGCATAGACTTCTGGGTGGGTCTAGTGCTGCATTACTTTGTGAAACATTTCAGTTGGTTGGGTTTTTTAAACCATTTTTGGGTGAGTTAATAAAGATATATCATTCCACAGTTCAATCACATCAAGCAGTATTGCACAATTGCTATCACAATCAGTTTCAAAACATTTATTGTCTTCTTGAACCCCTTGACATGGTCCCCCTTTTACCCCACCACCACACCTTCCCAAACCCTTATTCTACTTGGTGTCCCTGTAAATTCATCAACCCTGGGTTCCATATACTGAAAAATAAAAAAAAACATGTAATGAAAAGGCAACCCCAATGACATAACACATCTGAGATAAACCCAAATATGTACAAACAAACAAAAAATACAGAACTTGTTGAAAAGCAGATCGAGTTTCATGTGCATCAGAGGGGGGATCAACTGACCGAGTTTTAACTGTTCAGGTAGGCTTCTCATTTTGATCTTCTGGAGTCATCTTTCCAACACACTTTATTTGATAACCGCTTTCCTTCCCCCTCTATGATGGAGAGAGGGAAATCATGGAGGTTTATTTCCTGGGTAAATCTCACAAATGTATCTTGGCTCCCACTGTCATCCATAGTGTTCTGCAAACCAGATTCTCACAAGTTAGGCTCTGATACTATTCTGTCCTTTGGCTTTGGATTGCATGATTTACAATCCTTCTGCCACTGATGTTGGTGTACCTCTTCCATGTGGATTTAGTTGAGCTGTCACTCAGATGGCTGCTTGTTTGGAAACAAGCCTTTAGACCCAGATACTATTTTATCGGATAGCAGGCACCGTCTCAACTTGTGGAGTTTTTTTTTAGGCAATGCTTTCACTGCAGCTAGAACCTTTTCCTTCAGTACCTTGATCATATCGTACCTACAGAATAGTTGAACACTGACCAACTTTCTGGTATAGGCTTATATGTATTCCTTTCATTTTCTTTTATACTTCCTGTGTCATTCAATATGCTGCGCATAGGATTCTTAATATTGTTACTTGAGTTGAATTTGTACTTCAGGTCTTTCAGTTTTCTTTTTTGGGTTTTATAACTCCAAATATTTTTTACACATCTGTATTTCCCTTCTCAAAACACCCTTTGCAATCTTCAGTTCTGTCATTACATCATTTCTCCTATTACGTTCGCTACTCTAGAAGAATTTGAAAGTACAGTTCATAGTCTCTTCTGATATCCATGTCAGTTGCTTCTTTTGGTCTTTCCAATAGCCTCTTATTTTCTTTGTGCATGGGGTCATTGATGTCATCCCACTACTTGTCTGGACACATCTTTTCTTGAGACGCTCTTTAAATTCCGGTGGAATATACTTAAGGTCATTCTTTGGCTCTTGTGTTTTCCTCTTCTACTTGCATCCAAGCAATTAATGATCTGTCCCACAATGGGCCCCTGACCCTGTCCCAACTGAAGATAGTGAGCATCTCTGTCCTCTTTTCCCACAGATGTAGTCAATGCTATTCATATGTATTCAGTCCAGGAAGGCCACATTTATAATCCTTATTTATGAAAAAAGGTGTTTTTCATGGATAAATCTTGGTCTTGCAAAATTCTATTATCCAATTTCTAAATAAACCCTGGTGGAAATTTTTACACAATGGAAACTGGCAAACATTGCAAACCAAAGCCTGCTTCTTATTTTGTTGGTTGTCCCCAGAAGTCAGCAAAGTGTTTACCAAATGGCCCTAGAGTAGCTATTTTAGGTTGTGTGAACCACAAACAGGCTCTGCCGCATTTTTTAAAAAGAAAACAACTGTTTAAAACTGTGAAAACCATTGTGAGCTCAAACTTTTGTACGATAGCCCATAATCCAGGATAAAGTATAGGTATTTGCTTATCAAAGCCCCCCTAGATCATTCCGGTGCTTCCCAGGGAGCAGTATCACCCACTTTGGGAAACACTTGCATAGACTTTATGAAAATCAAGTCAGGGATCAAATTTAGCCCGATGGCCATCATTTGCCAGCCCCTGGCCCAGACTTAAGGAACTGAAGGAGTAAATGTAAATCAACTCCAAAGAGAGAAGACATTCATTCAGAACTTAATATCTAATTCAACAAAGAAATTGCTCATGTCATCGATGAACCCATGACATTCTGAATACACGATCATTGCTTTACGCTCTGCTGATACATTATTATAAATAAATATTAGGTAGCATTCTCATATATTGTATTTTATGACAAGTGTACTAGGCAAACAGTAATTAGAATACAACTCCATTTGTCAAATCATGACTGAGCTGCAAATCTGTACTTTTGCAAGAGTCTGCTAAAGATCATTGTCAGAGAATCAGTTGACTATATAGAAGTTACAACAAAGAGTACTGTATATTTTATTAGTTTTTTAATTGTATGCCAAACTTTCCTTATCTGTTTGGTAATATTTATAAGTTTATGTACAATATATGTATCAATATTTATATTTTTGTCAGAGAGGCAGTTGTTACACATTTACCACACAACACTGATTAGAAGGATCATATTTTTAAGATTCTGTATGGTCAAGAACTTAGAAAGATTTCTTCTGAGTAATTGATATATATAAATTGATCTGTATGCCACTGGCCAGACTTACCTTCTAGAACAGCAGTTCTCAACCTGTGGGTCGTAACCCCTTTGGGGTTAAATGACCCTTTCACAGGGCTTGCCCGATTCATAACAGTAGAAAATTACAGTGATGAAGTAGCAACAAAAATAATTTTTTGAGGAACTGTATTAAAGGGTCTTGGCATTAGGAAGGTTGAGAACCACTGTTCTAGAAAGATTAAAATCTCTTGAAATAAACTTAGTAGGATGTTTATAGTATAATTTAAGCTAAATTAGCCTCTTGAGCTAAAAAGCCTTCTTCTTTTTATCTCTTTTTTTCTTTCTGTTATGCCCAGTGTGAAATCTTGGGTGATGAAACTGGTAAATAAATTCAGCTGCTAAATGAAAAGACTAGAAGATCAAGTCTACTCACAGGGCCCTCAGAAGAAAGGCCTGGTGATCTGCTTTAGAAAAATCGTTCATTGAAAACCTGTGGATAACATTTATACCAGTTTAACTTATGTTGCTGCTTTCTAGAAATTCTCGTTTTATTTTTCTGAATAATATAGGATATTAAAAAACAAATACATACATAATTTATGGCGTTGTTTCTACAATGACAAGGTTGAAGGTGCATTAGGTTGACCTATTTAATGAACAAAGAACAACTGAAAATGGAGAAGTCTAAGCAAAGGAGGTAAACTTTTTTCATTAAGTTTTTAGAATAAGGATCTTTTTCTTATAGATTGTCTAGATCAAGCTGAGTGAGTTTTGCTGATACAATGAAGGAAGCAACAGAGGTAGTGAGGTGTTAGATTTAGATAGAATGCCTTAAATTGATTGAGTGCTTACACAAAAAGAAATAATAACTTTTGGCTTACCACTTTAATTGTAGTTTGAAAAGAGCTTTAAATAACATCTAGTCGAGTTGCTTTCTGATGCTTGCATCTCCTTCCAGGGAATCATCGAAATTCAGCTGCTAATTGCAAGGTCAGCAGTTTGAAACCACCAGCCACTCCTGAAACTTTCTACTCCTGTAGATTATTCCGTCACAAAAACCAGGGGCCATTTCCACCCTGTCCTATAGGGCCAGTATGAGTCAGAATGGACTCAGCAGTGAACTTTGTTTGGTTTTTGGATATTTGGGTAAATATCAACATTTGTTACCTGCTCTGGCCCTGTGCTTTCTCCTAAAACTACTGCCCCAAATTTCCCACACGACTGCATTTCCCTTTATCAACATTGGGAAATGGCAATTCCATGGTATTTCATCGTAACAAACTCTTCTTGGTTTAATGATTAAGAATATGGCCTCAACAGGAAGAACTCTTCTTATTAGTTGTATGGTTTGGTGCGATTTTTTAGCCCTTCCATTAGACTGTTCTATAAAGCAGGGATTAAAATAGTACCCATTCTACACATTTGCAAGGATTTAAAAAATAATCATTTGTAATATATTGTATGATGCTCTTGAAATTATCTTCTTCATTTCAGAATATAGTTGCAGACGACAACAAGATAAAGTAGGGGGAAGTTAGGTTATAACCTGGTACCAAACAATTTATGTTCAAATGGAGTTTTTATTGCTGGGTCAGAAGGAAAAGAATGCCAAGAGAAAAGCATGATTTCGTAGCTTCTTTCTGAGTTATCTAAGGAACTGTAACATATGTCTTTTCAAAATTAGCAGCTTTTAGAGATTTGAATTTTCCTATTTTAATTTGTTTCACTAGACCATCTTCATTAGGTAGACAGTTCAAAGTAAACAATAGACCATGTGGCAAGTGTATAGTGGGAAAAATATTGAATCAGCTAAATGTATTATCTACTTACTATTGTACTTTTTTTGTCGCTATAAAAGAAAAGTGTAGTTCCTCTCAGCTCTGTCCAATAATGTTTAAATTCCTGTAGGAAAAAAATTAGAAGCATATTTTGTTAGTGTACATGTAAACATTTTCCTGCCGATTATTTCCTTTGTGACTTTATTAATTACTTGTTTCATATGAAATGGTTCTTCATCCTGAGGTCATTTAAATGTTCATGTTATATGATTCTTACATTTAATTATTTAATCTTCTTCAAAATTATTTTAGCATATAATTTGTAATGAGGTTGCAATTCTATTTGTTTTCATTTCCCAAAGCTTTCCCCAGTAGTTTCAGGTATTTGACCTTTTATGCACTTTTAGAGGAAGCTTACACCGACAAAATGAACAATTTAAGGGGTCATAATAGGAGAAGTATATAATATATACGTTGAAGGACAATTGAAATGAACGACTTAACACAAGTAGAGCACTAATTAGGGTTTGGCTCATAGTTTGAGTCCCATGAAAAGTCAATATTATTGTTATTACAAGGATATATGAGAAATTGATATAAACTACTTGACACTGTTATCATTGATTCTTGAAATTAAAATTTCACTCAGATAGCAATGACTTAGTTATTACATTCACATGACTGCATTTTAAAAAGTAGCACTTTCTTGTGATTTAGGTAAAAGTTTACAGAGCAATTCGTTTCCTATTCAACAATTTTCACACAACTTCTTTGGTGACCTTGGGTGCTAGCCCTCAACGTGACGGCCTTCTCCCTGCCACCCTCCGCTTTTGGTTTCCACTCACCCGTCTATCGTGTCCCTACCTGCCTTCTGAACTTGCCAATGGTATCCTTATTGTCTTAGATACTTGACTGCTCTGAAATTCATTTTCCTCTTTGGTATTATTGTTGACTGTATAGGCCTGTCTATAAAGTAGTCTTCAGGAATTCAGTTCAGTTCCAACTTTGAAGGGTGTCTAAAGACCATAGTCTCTGGGGTTCCACTAGACTCCATCAGACCAGTAAGTTAGGTCTTACGTATAAATTTGAATTTTGTTTTCTCATCTACTCAGGATCAACTATTGTGATAGCTGGTTTAGATTTAGACTTTCTCATCAGCGTTTAGTGGAGGCTGCAGTTGACATGATCCACTAGTCTTTTGAACTAATTATTTCTTTGAGGGTTTGATTTCTTCACTCTTTTTGCTCTGGATGGAAAGAGATATATTGTTGAGTCTTAGATGGCCACCCATAAGCTTTATTAAGACCTCAATCACTACTCACCAAAGTAGTCTGCAGACTATTGTCTTTATGGACTAGGTTATGTCCATTGTCCTGGGTGACCCCTCACTGCCATCAAGTCATTTCTGCCTCAGTGACCCTACAGCACAGGGCAGAACTGCTCTGTGGGTTTCTGAGACTGTAACTCTTTACGAGAATCGATAGTCTTGCCTTTCTCTCATGGAGCAGCCAGTGGTTTCAAACTTCTGACCTTGCAGTTAGCAACCGAAGGCATTATCACGATGCCTCCAGGACCCCTGGATAAGCTGAATTCTTACATAATGTTTGATCATTAAGGTTACCAGCAAAACAATTCTTTTTAAGCCTTGTAAGAACGGCACATCTTGTCTTTTTTGACTTCACAAGGGAGGAGGAGAATCAAACGCTACATTAGCCCAAGGCTGAGTCTGTGTCAGAGATCAGCCCTACCTCCATCCTTCTGTACCAATTCTGGCACCATCTGTCTATTCACACAGAAACTCATGAATAATACTCATGATTATGCGATTTATTAAGGAAGTTGAAAAGTTACAAATCAGGATAAACTATGTGCAGGGTACAGTTCTTCTACTCAAGAGGACGTTTTACAGTTGTGCCTGCTTAGTCTCTCTAGTCCTCAGCCTCTCAGCCATGTGGCCCTTGGCTACTGTCCTGCTCAGGAAGTGTTGCAAAGTTCCTTTAGCGCTGTTGACAATGCCCCCAAACACTTGACTCCAGCAAAAGCCTAAGCCTGGTGCTCTGCTCCAGCTCCAAGAGTCTCCAAACTTAACCCTCCTCAACCTACAATTAAGTGCCTGCAAGCACCATGCTCTGCAAGCAAGCCTTTTGCTGACGGCACTCCGCTTTGTGCATTCCATTGACCTGAACCCCATCACTCCATCTCACCCTCAAGCTCTTGGTTCTTCTGCTCATTCTCTGCCACTCCTCCACTGTCACGATCCTACGTCTCCTGGATTGAGAAGGTTCCGCTTGCAAGAAAACTCAGGGTCCAAAGGATGTGCTCTACTCCTGGCTTTTCTTCCTTGATAATCATGAGATCCCCCTCTTCCATCTCAGTTTCTGAAATGGCTCATTTTAAATCCAGCCGGATGACAAATTGATCAATCTTTTCATTAGACTTCCATATGTCTTATTTGCATGCAATCCTGTCATTTGGTGGGGATTACAACTATTTTGACTAAAAGAGCCTTATCAAGTAATTCCCTACACAACATACCTCTTCAGATTGTATACACTCTCTCAAATAATAAAACTCTATAATCAATTTCACTTTGATTTATCATGTCTCCTGGAAACTCAGGATTAAGTGCATTTTTTAATGACAGCAATTGTCTTTGTACATGCTCTCCCTGTATCTTCATAGTTTGTGGTATCTAGTAAGATACTGAAGCCTTGGTGGTGCTGTCAGTTAGGCATTGGGTCGTTAGCTGCAAGGTTAGGGTTCAAATTCACCAACTACTTGATGAAAGAAAGGTGAAGCTATCTAACTTCTTAAAGATTTATAGTCGAGAAACCTGTACATAGTCACTATTAATCAGAATCCTCTTGATGGCAGTGAATTTAGTTTGTAGCCAAAAACGTCACCACAATGTTGGTAATTCAAACCACCAACAGTTCTGCACTGGAGAGATGAGGCTATTTCTCTCCAAAAGATTTATAGCCTCAAAACCCTAGGGTGCTTTTCTACCCTGTGCAATAGCTTACTGTGAATAAGACTGGACTTGGTGGCAGTTGGGTGGTTAGTATAACAAGTCCTTCTAAAAGCTAGTGCAGTAAAACAGGAAATGTGTTCTATTTGTCACCATGTGGTAGCTAACGAACTGGTTCTTCTGGTCTGGCTATACTTAACTGAAGCTAAATAATCTAGGCTGGCTTCACTTACTTGTCTTGAATTCAGGAATACTGGAATGCCTAGGAACATTGGAACAACTAGGGCCTTCCTCCATATGGTTTCTCAAACACTATATTTCTCAAACACAAGGTTAAGCCAGCCTCAACTTGTTCACATAGTGGCAGAAAGATTTCTCGGAGGAAGAGAGCACAATCCCTAATGTGCAAGCCTTACCCAAGCTTCTACTTGGGTTATATTTACCAAAGCATATCTCATGGCCAAAGGATAGAAAAGAAGACTAAACTCTTCGCATGAGGGCCAGAAAATTCACATTTCAAGAGAACAGGCCAGTGAATCCAGAAGCCATTGGTAGTGTTACTGCAGTAATCTACCATAAGGTAGTGTTTCTTTGTCCAAGTACAGTGGTCTTTCTAAAACCTAGTTCCCCATTGAGAAGTAGTTAATGCTTCTGAACCAAGAACCAATTACCATAAGAAAAGAAAAACTAATTCAAAACAGCATCTGATTGTAAGCCAAGCCAATAGATGGCCTCAAAAGGAGCAATTCGAAAACTAGGTAAAGACGTTTACTGTTTCCTTAAATCCAGATTTGTATCTAACTGACACATCTCAGAGTTAAGCAATTTATAAAGACAAAAGGGCACAGCTTACTATCAGCAACAGCGGAAGCCTTTTCTTCATTTCTTCTCATGTAAGATGCAAAGTGCACTGCGCTTTACGTGGTCTCATTGGTGCTTTCCCCCCACCCTCTAATCCTGTCCAGTCTGCACAGAGGGAAGGATCTCCTCTGCTGAGTATCTAGTGGGTGAACTTGGGGAAGACAGTATGCTCAGCACAGCTTCTTCCTGTTCTCTCTCAGCTCAGCTTATCTGGAAAGTACAGGTGTTTTGCTCTGTTTCCTGCTCATAACAAAGGGCCTCAGTGAAAGGAGGCTCATTGCTGTTTAAGTCTGGGGTAGCGCTTCAGTACGGTTGTGGCCTTAAAATTGAGACCATTTGTTTACTGTGATTGCTCTTAGTGCTTTCATGTCAATGCCAATTCATGGTGCGTCCAAGCGTGCAGAGTCGAACTGTGCTCCATGCGGTCTCAAACTCGCGATCTTTAGGCAGCAAATTGCCAGACCTTCCTTTGGAGCCATTTCTGAGTCAGTTCCACTAATACGTAGCCATTGGTACTGGTCAGGGACTCCTTGCTTATTTATAGACTTATTCAATAATTTAAGGGAACAAGTAGATCTGCATGTGTAATTCCTTCATTTTCAACTAGTTATTCAACAAATGAGTATAAACATCTAAATAGAGTAGGAAAATATGGAAGGACTGCTCAGGGGTTTATTTTTGAGTCCTTATGAAAGTGTCCTAGAATTAGGTAATAGTGATGGTGGTACAACTCTGTGAAAGTACAAAGATTCCACTGAGTTTTAAATAGAAGCAAAAGTAGTACTAATAAAGAGTACTGTGGATATTGGATGAGGGAGCCCTGGTGGTGTGGTGGTTATGTGTTGAGCTGTGATCCGAAAGCACAGCAGTTCCAAGCCACCAGCTACTGCTCCTTGGCAGAAAGACGGAGCTTTCTATTAACAGGTAGAGTCTTGGAAGCTCACAGGGGAGGTTTACCCTGTCCTACAGGGTTGTTATGAGTTGGCATCGACTGTATGGCGGAATTTGGTGTGGATCTTCACTGTTAAGAGAACAAGAATATGAGGAGGCTTCAAATGTGTGTAGAATATTCCATTATTATTCTTATTCCATTTTCCCGAATCTTTTTAAGCCCTTTCATTGAAGAAGGGAGACTAGACAGGAGTCATTGCTTCATAGAGTCGTAGGGGGATTGGATGTACTAACAGGGCATGTATGCTAGGTATTAGGGCCTACAACATAGCAGGTATCCAATTAATGGTAACCACTGGGGGGAAAAACAGAAACACTTTATCACTCAAATCATTGATAACTAT